TAACTTTCTCTTTTACTTCATCTTAAAAATCTTTCTCTGGAAATCTGTCTCCACACATCTACATCTCTTAACATACAGCTATGTATCTCTCTTTACATACCTACATCTCAGAATCTTTCTGAAAACCTCTCTTGCTCTTTATCCTACCTAGTTACTCATTCTCTTCCCTCAGCCTCCCTCCGCACACCACACCCACATTCTGACGCTCTCTCATTCCTTCTCTCTCTCTCTCACAGTCAAACTCTGGACAATTATAGGTTACATTTTTAGGGTCACAAAGCATTTCTTGAGTAAACAGTTAGAGACAGAGCCAAACTGATACACTTGAGGAATCACAGTTTCTCTCAGGCGAGGAAGGTCACATCAACTGGCCAGTAACGCTTGGCCAAGCACTTAGCCTATTGTTAGGGTTCTCAGACAGAAAGTAAACAGTTGCTTCACATCTGACCTTGAATCAGGATAAACACCTGGGAATTCATCCTTGTGTATTTGTCTCCAGGAGCAGCCAGTTTGCTTTGAGTATGTTCTGGAGTCTAAAATTAGCTGTCTTTGTGACTGAAAATACTATTCTCTCCTGCATCAGTTACGAAAAATATTCTAATATTATTAGAAATATACAGCTTAAGTAGAAATCATCTTCCTGACCATCCACAGCAGCATGTGTGCCCAAAGATGGAATATTTTTACGAGATAAACACACAAGCAGTGGGGAAAATAACCATAGCTGTTATTAGGGAAGAAAGGAAGTGGCACATGAGAAAAATTACAGACAGGAGCAACCGGTCATTTACAGTCAGTGACTCCACAGCTTTGCCAAGTGGGGCTCCCTACCTGGTGGGTTGACCTGTTAAATACTAGTTGTCACCCGCTGTATACTTCCACGGCCTCCTGCATGGCACTTAGAGAGTAAGTATGTACATAGGCAGTGTGGATGCAATCTATTCTTTTCTGAATATTTCTGACGAATGGTTGCTTGCAACCCAAGATGAGGAACTCACAGGAGAGGGGAGTGTCACACAGCACACTCCTTTTAAGGACTGAGATCTAGTTGGACTTCACGTATGTGGCAGATAATGTCCTCCGATGAAGCCTTTTCTACAGTACACACCCAACAGTAGGATTTTATGACAGAATTAAACTTAGAAACCAACCAACTCAAAAACAGGACGGGTTCACTTACGGTTGCTGCCTCTTCCAGGGCCTGCTTGTTTCCGCCGAGGGCTTTAAAAAGAACATCATATTTAGTTACTACGAGGTTTGAATGATGAATCAAATTATCAATTATCTTTCTCAAACTGGATCAATGAAGCCTTTGGTCTAGCACTGCCTTTCACAATCAGTCTTTCTGTTAGACTCCTCCCTGGTGTAGCTAGTTACTCGACTTTCTGTGTCCTCAAAGCTCCTGTTGTTTCCCAAGTCAGCTGTCCCCATGGCTCAGTGCTTTGATACTTAGTATTTCTTCTGCTCAGTTCACTTCCCTACCCTAGAAATTTCTATTTGTTCTTTAAAATTCAGCTCAAACGCCACACTCAAACTATTAATGTTTCTATTATAATGACTGCTTCAAACTGTAAATACATACATAAATAGTATATAGCAAATAACTCAAAAGCTACTAAAGCTACTTAGGTGTCTACTCCTGCCTGAACTGAATTCCAGAGATAATCTCTCTTGGTCCTGGTAAAAACCTGGCATAGTAAATGTGCAGACTAAAAAGGTCTTTGTAGAATGAAAACTTAGGGTAGCTCCTCTTGTTAGAAATCCCCATGGAACTGTGTATACAGTTAAGATCCTGGGCCTTATAAACAGAATACCTGGGGCTCAAATAGACGCTGCCGTAATATGAGAGCCTGAGGAAAGTATCTCTGAGCCTTATCTTGCCCTTCTAAAATTGATCTACTGTTCGGCATGGTGGAGCACACCTTTAATCCCAGGATTCGGGAGGCAGAGGTAGGTGGATCTCTGTGAGTTCAAGGCCACTTTGGTCTACCTAAGAGAAGTCCAGGATAGCCAGGGCCACAAAGGAACCCTGTCTCAAAAACAGAACTGGCTTACTATCATGGTTAACCTGTACTTACTGGCTACTTCTCCTATCTTTTTTGTAGTATCTAAAACTCTAATTCTACATGAAAAACATTTTTTTCAAGACAGGATTTCTCTGTGTAGCCTTGGCTGTCCTGGAATTCACTCTGGCTGGCCCCGAACTCACAGAGATCCATCTGCCTCTGCCTCCCGAGGGCTGGGATTAAAGGCATGAGTCACCATCACCCAGCTTCTATATGAGTTTTTAAATGACCCTTCTCCACTAGCCTATAAGCTTCGAGTGAGGGGACAATGCCTGTTTTACCCCTTACTGCATCTCTAGTACCTAGCACAGTGCCTGACACTCAACTGTGGAGAAATGAACGAACGAACACATGGATTAATAAGGCACGTCAGAAGAATCATGGCTCTTGTGAGCAACACATGCACTTCTACCCAGGAAGAAGGATACACACTGGTGGTTACTAGTGACGAGGAAAACAGAGAAAGTGGAAGCCACCTAATGGATGGGAGAGAAAGGAGCCTCCAGGTTGGACTGAAGTTTAACAAGTGGTGGGAAATGGGTTGGGATTTTTCTCTGGTCAGAAAAACACTCCTGCCTTTGCAGTTCATAAGTGACTTGCTCATTGTTAAACTGGCGATTTCCACAAGAAAGAGCTGTTTGAGGATACTGTTCTAATTCACCTCTGACGAAGCCAAATCATTTTTTTTTCTTAATTTATTCTTTTTTGTTTGTTGGTTTGGTTTGGTTTTTTCGAGACAGGGTTTCTGTGTAGCTTTGTGCCTTTCCTGGAGCTCACTTGGTAGCCCAGGCTGGCCTCAAACTCAGAGATCCGCCTGGCTCTGCCTCCCAAATGCTGGGATTAAAGGCGTGGGCCACCAACGCCCAGCCTATTCATTCATTTTTTAAAAGTGAGTATACACAGTATTTCCTGATATGTGAAAATTATGTGAAATTGACATTTCAGTGTGCCCAGAAATGAAATTCATCATGGCTCTTTTGGAACTATAACAGAAATCCAGTTCCAGAAATCTAAAATATTTGTTTCCTGGCCTATTAAGAGAAAAAGTTTGCCTACCCAGGTGGATGACAGTCCCAGGTGAGACTGAGCAATAGGGTGGATTCAGATCACAAATCATTCTCTTTCTCCCCTAAACATGGATATGCCTCCTCAACTCTCTCCTTGGACAGAGAGATGACGAGAACGTGTGCTGTGTGTGGCCTTGCAATTCTCTCCCTCCTCTGTAAAGCCTCAGGACAACTTTATAGTCCTACCTAGTGCCCGCGACCTTGCCTATCAGCAGGCAGGCTAGCTTAGGCTTGGTCATGTCCGTGTGGAACACCCCTTCCACACCCCTGAAAGCCTTCAAGAATCAGAAGCTTGCTTTGTCCTCCGGACCTGAGGGTGCTCTCTTCCTTAAAGCCCCCATCAAGCTACCTACCTCTGGTATATGTCTATTAATGCTCTCCCACTGAGCTGTGAACGTGAGACGCGCTGGCCTAATGCTCATCTGAGGGGTAATTCATGTCAGCTTCCTTTCTATGGGCCTGCTATTCTTTCCTAAGTTATGACAGGCGTCAATTTCCCACGGGTGGTTATGTTAGACCTCCTCAAGATCGTGTCCCTCCACAAAGCTTTCAAGATAAGCCCTAGTCGGCTACCAGAAAAAAAGCTAGCAGCTCTTACCAAAGTAATCGAGCCAGTTCATCTCGCGCAGCGCCTTGGGGAGCCGAAGGATCTCGATGTTGTACAGGTTTTCCACCTCCTTGAGGAGGTTTTGTCTGTCGGACTCGATTTGCTTGGTTCGAATTTGCACTGCGAAGAGGTGAAAGCCGACGGATGCCGTGTCAACAAGGGTGCGACGGCTCGCACCCGCACCCCAACCCGCCCGACACTCACGACCCCCGCGAATCCGCCCCTTACCCTCGCGGTCGAAGTCCTTCAGGAAGGAGGCGAGCTTGCGGTTCCGCAGCGCGTTGGTCTTGGTGCTGCGAGTGCGGCCCTTCCTGGGAGCCATGGCGCCGGGGTGTGGGCTGCGTCGAGCGAAGGACCGAGCAGCCGGGACAGCGGGTGAGACGGGGAAAGAGCGGGTGAGCGACCGCGGAGCACCGGGAATTCAGTCGTTGAAGTCTAGGTACCCCGAAGTTTGCAGACGCGTACCTGCAGGCTCCGGAACACACAAGCAGGAAACCCTGCAGCTCCGGCTGACGGGCAGGTTGCTCCTCCGCTAACCGCCACCCAATTCAAACTTAACGGACACTGGATAGCCAATAACAAGTCGCCGTCTTAGGACGGTTCTCACAACGCCCAATCACGACAACGCTTCTTCTCCATCATGCAACCAATCCTCATGAAGGACTTCAATGCCCAGAAGTCATTGCGGCTACGTCTTCTTTCCGCGACTTCCGAGTCGAGCTAAGTGGAACCAGACTGTCGAGTTCGCTTTTGAGCGTGTGCGAACAGTGCCAAGCACTGTGAGCTTCTTAGTGTCCACTTAGCTTTAACTACCCAGGATTTACGTTTTCCTGCTGGTTTAGGGACACGGCTGGCAATCTCAAAGAGAACGGACAAGACTCTGGCTCCAGAAACGGGGGATCGAGGAGAGACAGGGACTTGCAATCTAAAGCAGATTGCCCTGTCCTGAAGAAACCTCTTCTGAAGACTTCCAGGACCCGCTTCCTGAGGTGAGAAGCAAGGGTCCTTCTGCAGAGGGAGCTGGTAAGAGGACCGCCGGGACCTCCACTCTTGAGTGTCAGCGGCGACAAGACAAGATAGACAGCTTTACCCTGCCACCCTGAGCAGCGTGAGGAGTTCCCCTAAGCTTAAGGGACTTCAGCTCAGCTGGTGGCTTTGTCGTTGAAAATAATTCAGGGGCTGGAGAGATGGCTCAGAGGTTAAGAGCACCGACTGCTCTTCCAGAGGTGTTGAGTTCAATTCCCAGCACCCACATGGTGGCTCACAACCATCTGTAGTGAGATCTGGTGCCCTCTTCTGTATACATAATAAATAAATAAATCTTTTAAAAAAAAAGAAAGAAAAGAAAATAATTCAGGAGTAGCTAGTTTAAGAAGCAGAGAGAGTTCGAGGCCAGCCTGGTCTACAGAGCGAGATCCAGAAAAGGGGCAAAAAGCTACACAGAAAGGAACCCTGTCTCGAAAAGAAAAAAAAAAAAAAAAAAAAGAAGAAGCAGAGTTACACACACACACACACACACACACACGCACGAGTAGGGACTCACCATGTAACGTTTGCTGGCCTGGAGCTCTCTATGTAGACTAGGTTGCCTCAAACTCAAGAGATCTGCCTGTCTTTTGTCTCCTCAGTGCTAGGATTAAAGGTGCACACCACAGCGCCCAGCCCAAAGCTATTTTTAATACAAGCTTAACTACAAGGATTAAGAGAGAGGCACCAGACAGAAAATAAAAGACACTTTCAGGCTGCTCAAACAATCCCAGAAAGTAAGACATGGCCAAGTGGGTGTGGACTTCTCAAGGGAGAGTCAGCAATTGATAGTCTTAACATTAGTATACTACATGATACATTGTGTGGCTTTCAAGATACATCTCAAGAGGGTTTCTAAGAAAAACTTGTTATTCCCTTCTCTTTCTTCTTGTTTGATAACAGAAGTTAGTGAGGTGGCTTCTGAGATGCCTTGGGTGGAATTATAGAAAGTGAAGCCAGGAGCGCCTATGGTTGTACAAGGGGCAGTACATGTCCTTCCCATGTAAATGGGATTTCTGGAGAGATTTCTAGAAGGTCGAAGGTTTACAGCTGGGAAGGGAGTAAGGCCTGAAGCAGCTGGTAAATCGTACTGTTGGAATTCCCACTTCATTGCTGACCAGAGTCATCAACCTGCTTCCAGGATGAGGAGCATCTGTTCTTTTTCACGCCCCCCAAAGTCTCCCTACCTTTCTATATTGCCTTAGGACTATTTGAAGACCAAAAGCTGGCCACCCCACGAGGTGAGAAACGACTCACCCTTGTCCCAGGCCCTCCCCTTCTGGTACCCTGACGCTTGGTTTTGTCTTCCCAGCAGATGGCTCAAGACCAGCCTTTGGTGGCTGTGCAGGAGGTCCTGCGGAGGTGCTTCCCCGTGGTGGAGGAGCAGCAGGGCCTGTGGCAGAGCACTCTGCAGGACTGCTCGCCCCTCCTCTCCTCGCTCAGCAACCTGGCTGAGCAGCTGCAGGCTGCACAGAGTCTGCGGTTTGAGGATGTGCCGGCCCTCCGGCCCTTCCCCGACGTAGAGGAGCGGCTGAGGCGCAAGCAGCTGGAAGCTGGTGACATTGTCCTGGACAAGCTGGCTGAGAGGCTGTAAGAGGCTCCACGGCCCCTTTGGAAAGATCTTAAAGCTTCGTGACATCCCAGCCCCAGTCAGGGTGGGCGTACAAAAGTTACAAAAGCAAGCTGGGAGTGGTCATTCAGGGGACTAAGGTTGAAGGGCACTGAGTTTGAGGCCAGCTTGGGCTACATTATAAGACCTTGTCTCAAAAGAAAAAACAAACAAAAAAAACAGCCAGGTGGTAATGGCGCATGCCTTTAATCCCAGCACTGGGGAGGCAGAGGCAGGCGGATCTCTGTGAGTTCAAGGCCAGCCTGGTCTACAGAACGAGTTCCAGGAGAGGCTCCAAAGCTACACAGAGGAACCCTGTCTCAAAAAAAAATAACAACAACAACAAAAAAAAAAACAGGTCGAGTGTGGTGGCCACATGTCTTTAATCTAAGCAATCAGGAGGCAGAGGCAGGCAGATCTCTGAGTTCAAGGCCAGGACTCAGAGAAGCCCTGTCTCAAAAATAAATAAATAAAATAAAAATAAATGAATAAAAAAATATAAATAACCCCAAACCAACTAAATAAAGAAAAGAAATTACAAAAGCAGAAAAGAAGGGGACTGGAGAGAGAAAGTGTAGCCTCCTTCTGTGGTTGTGCCAGAACTGAGGCCATTACCTTACACACCTCTGCTTAACCTTGTTCACACATCTGGAAGCAAGGAAACAGAGTCAGACGTTTGTTACAGTTTGTTCTACACACAGGTGGATACATGTATAGCTGAAATAGCCTGCTAAGCAATAACCCAGGTGTTACATTGATACTTTGTTTTCTGTTTGTGTTTTTACTGTTGGTCACAGTCTATAAGCTAGACTCATAGACTTATGGAATTGTTTCCTGTTTTTACACTGTAAGTCATAGTCGGGCTTTTTAGAACCAGAGTTCTGGGCTAGGGGATCCTTTGTCCTTAGGAACTTATAGCCCTTTTCTTGGTGATGGTTCCTTATAGTTAGCGTTAGAGTAATAACTAGGCAGCAGGTGGCCCATACCTTTAGTCCCAGCACCCTGACTGGGGGTGGGGGGCGGGAGAAAAAGAAGAATACCTAGGCAATGCCAAAATCACCCCCCTCACCCCACCCCCATGACACAGGGTTCTCTGTGTGTAACCACTACCGCCACCACCACCACCAGTGCAGAAGCCCTTTCTCCACATTGTGGTAGTTCTCTCTCTAATGACCATTCATTCACTGATGCACTGACTGTGTTTGCTGTATATGTAGTCCTGAGCCTTTATGCACAGGGAAACAACTCGCTTTCCCTAGCAGTCCAGGCGCCCTGAGCCCTCACTGTCATTCAGAACTGTCCATACAAGGGTGGTCAAGGTGGCTCATTGGGTAAGGTACTGGCTATGCAAGCCTGCTGACCTGAGTTCAATCCCCAGAACCCATGGAAAGGTGGGAGGACAGAATGGACACCACAAAGTAGTCCCCCCACTTCCCCACATGTGCTGTGGCGTGTGTGCACCCTCCCCCATACTTAATTAATTAAAAAGAATTTGCAAAGTGGGACTGGGGTGTAGCTCAGTGGTAGACCACTCTCCTAGTGTATCCGAGAGTTTGAGTGCCCTCTAAAAAAAACCTCCAAATGCCAGTAGTGCTTAGAGAAGCCTTACCTCCTCCCATTTCCATGATGCTGCCTAACGTTCCACTTTTCCCACAGAGCCACCCTCCTCAAGGTCCGCGACACCGTCAGCAGGCACGTGGAGCAGGTGTTTCAGACCTACGAGCAGCATTCGGCTGTGCTTGACATGGACGCGCTCCTGCGGCCCTCGGTTGTGAGCCCCTCTGTGGCCGACATGCTGGAGTGGTTGCAAGACATTGACAGACACTATCGAAGCTCATATCCTTGAGTGCTTATGTCCAGGCCGCCCAGAGCTGCTCCTAGAAGCCTTTGCTGACTCAGATCTCACAAGATCAGCAGGCTGTATAGTTTGCTGCAGTTCTCTTTAGAGCCCAACTGTGGATTCTGCCTGCATCTGTTTTTCATAGTCATCTCTTACAGGTTGCCTGCTGGGCACTGCTGTAAGCGCTGAGAGGCGGGCATGAGGAGAGGGGAATATATAGTGTCACCTGTGCTGAGTGCCGGGAGTAAAGCCGGGAAGGCGAGGAAGGAAGGTGGGGCGGTCTTTTTTTTTTTTTTTTTTTTTTTCAGGAGACAGGGTTTCTCTGTGTAGTCCTGGCTGTCCTGGCCTCCGTCTCGGAGATCTGTCTGCCTCTGCCTGTCACTGCCTACTGAGTGCCAGGATTAAAGATGTGTGCCACCACCACCCAGCTTGGAGTTGTGATTTTAATAGTGTCAAGGCAGGCACCCACGAGGCAGTGATGGTTATGACCTTTGAGCAAAGATTTAAAAGAGTGAAGGAACGAGCCACGTGGATGTTTGGGAGAAGAATGGTCCGGGCAGAGAGTACTTTGAGGCAAAAGGCCTGGGTGGGAGCATGCCTGGTATATTTAGGAAATAGCCATGAGGTCCATGTGGTGAGGGCAGGGCATGGTGTCAGGGGGCCTTGGTTTTTGAGAAGGATCTTGAAGATTTTGGCTGTTACTCTGAGATGAAAGTTCTGAGAAGCCTTTAAGCAGAATAGTGTGGCCAAGGCCTATGCTTAACAGCATTCATGTAGAGGTCAGAGGAGAACTTGACAGAATCAGTTCTCTCCTTCCGCCATGTGGCTCCCGGGATGAAGGTCAGATTTGGCAGCAAGCACTTTTCCCAGTGAGCCGTCTTGCCTGCCCCTGACGTGGACTTTTAGTCCCGTATCCCCTCCTGGCAGGCTTTCCTCTGTCTCCAGATGTCTGCTTTGAGCTGTCTGTGGTGAAGGACCACAGACTGTCACCTCAGATCTGGTTGTGTTCATCCGGGAGTTGTCAGCTCTTCTGTTGCCGGGCTAAGGCTCAGAATCCCGCCTTTCCTCCATTGCTGCCTTTATTATTCTGGCTGCAGCCATCTTTCAGCTCTCATGTCAGGACACGGGAGGCCTGCCGTGCCGAGTCCACTCCAAGCTTCCTCCGTCCTGTGCCTCTGTTTCTCTGTTTCTCCAGTGGTGTGTCCACCTCAGCTGCCACTGAGGCTTTTGTTTTGTTTTTGTTTTTGCTACATTTTAGTTTCTCTCCCTAGCCCTGGCTGTCCTGGAACTATGTAGACCAGGCTGGCCTTGAACTCACAGAGGTCCGCCTGCCTCTGCCTCCTGAGTGCTGGGGTTAAAGGCGTGCGCCGATACAGCTGACTAGAACAGCCACAGAGTTCTGTCTCTTAAGTCACTTTGCTTTTCTGTCCGGTCCATCCTGAGCCTGTGAGGTCTGAGTCCTCTTTCCTGGTAGCATCGTGTTCTAGTCCAAGTGCTCCTCAGTCCTCTTGGCACGGGTGAGCCCTGCCTACCTGGGAAGGTGACCGACCAGTGGCTGTGCTGCCACTTTTAGCTTCCCACGATTCTCCAGCAGATTGCCTTTTTCTTTTTTCTTTTCTTTCTTTTTTTCTTTCTTTTCTTTTCTGAGCAGTCCTTAACTTCTGGGAAGGTACCTGAAGAGAAAGTACCTCCTCTCCTCCATCCACTGGGGAGACTTGGCCAGCATCCAAGCACTGCCCAAGGCCTGGGACCAGATTTCCGAAGATGAATGCCAGACCCTCGTGCCAGGTACTGGTTTCCATTCGTTCCCCATCTGCCTTCCTCTGCCTGCAGCTTGCCTCTTTGGAGGTGTTAGAGACACCGCTGCTGTGCTTCTGGGCCTCGGTAAACCTGATGTCTTGTACCTGCTTCCTGTTCTAGATATCCTGGTGAGTGTCTCCTTCTTCCTGGAGGAGCCAGGAAGCTGCGCAGTGTCTGGAGATCTGGAGCCCTGCAGTTGAGGACGGCTGTGGCTGCCTCTGCTGTTTCTAAGTGAGCATCGGCAGTGCAGCCCGACACCCTGAGATACCGGAACCTACGGTAGAGGTCCCTAGGGCTTCCTCACGCCGGGCCGTGGCCCAGGGTCCATGGCTGTTGCGCCTGCGGCTCTGGCAGGTGGATAGGGGCAGAGGGAACAGGAAAGGCAGCGCTGATGAGCAGTGTCCATCTCCATTGTTAGGCTGGACTGGCAGGGAAGGAAGGGCAGGAGGTAGAGGGCCACAGCGGCCTCTGCGTCAGCTGAAGTCCTTCGTCCGGTTGGCTCAGGTTGTGTGTGTCAATATCTGAGTCCTTAATGATTTAAAGATATGAGTGGGTCTGGGAGTGCAGGGCAGTAGCAATGTGTGTGTGGCACACGTGAAGCCCTAGATTCAATCCCTTGCACACCCTAAAAAGGGAGGGACTGAAGGAAAGCATTTGAAATGCTCTTCACAGTAGTTTAAACCAATTTCCATTTCCAAAACCAGCCACCAGGGGGAGATGGTGTAGCGTGAACGGTTCTGAATGTTTTATCCTTGAGAGGTCTCATGTTGCTGTTAAAAGTAACTGAGAGCCGGGAAGAGCCCACCCACTGCTGGAGAGGCAAAGACAGGTGATCTCTGATTTTGAGATCACCCTGATCTACATAGCTCCAGACTAACCAAGGCTACATACTGAGACTGTCTTAAAAAAACCCACCAAGGCCAAAGAAAAGGAAAGAAATAAGTGAACTGAGAATAGTGAGACCCTCCAGCTGCCAGGGTTGAGACTCAGGTGACCTCTCATTGACTACATTCTTCTGAGTCTAGAGGGACTGGCCAGGTAGGAGAATATGCCAGCTGTGATCGTTAGTTTGGATTGTTCATTTGAAACATGTAAAGTCTCCTAGGAAGGGAAATTCAATGAGGAATGTTCTAGATTTGGCTGGCCTGCAGGCATGGCTGCAGGATTTTCTTCATTGAGGTGAGAAGAACCATTCTGAATGTGGGTGGCATCGTTTCACGGTTGGGCCCTAGATCAAATGAGAGAGAGAGCAGGCTAAACACCATCAGGCACGCACTAATCCATTGCTCTTGATGGTGGGTGTCATGTGACCAGCTGCTTCAAGTGCTTGCCGCCCTGACTTCCCTGCGGTGTGGACTGTGCCCTCAAATCATGATTCTAATAAACCCTTTCTCAGTTGTACTGGTCAGTGTGTATCACAGTGTTTTAGGTTCTCGAGAGGAGCAGAACTGATAGAATGAATGAATATGTATCCAGAGAGATCGGGGCGAGAGTGAGGGCGGGCAAGCTGAAAGCAGGGCTTTCTTCTTCCACATGCTTTTATGTGGACTGCCACCAGAAAGTGTGGTTCAGACTTGGGATGGGTCTTCCCACCTCAAATGATCCAGATTAGGGTGGGTCTTACCACCCTAATAATCTAGTCAAGAAAAGCCCTCACAGGCATGCCCAGCTGCTTGGGTTTTAGTTGATTCCAGCTGTGGTCAAGTTGACAGCCAAGATCAGCCATCACACACAGTAACAGGAAATAAGCTGAGAGAGGCAGCCTTGAGTCAGAGCCTCACTCAGCCTCCGCAGAGGACGCTTGCCTTGGGGTCCCAGTTTCCCACATGCTGCCATGCACAGGACTTAACGCAGAGGATGAATACATTTAAGAAGAATGTGGCGTTGTTTTTCTTACTACATTTTTTGTTTTTAATTAAAGGAAAACTAGAAAAAAATGTAAACAACAGGAAAGTATAATGCAAACCCACCCTAGATATTTTGATCTGTGTCCCTTCACTGTTCTTCACAAATTTAAAAACAAAAGCATTGATACAAACTTGTTCTTGTTACCTTTGTGGATAGTGGGACATCTGTAAATAAGCCAGCAAAACTGTACTGTATAGATGGTCTGACATTCTGTGATATATTACTTC